GTAGGCCCCTTGAGACTGCCAAGTCACTCCCTTCTCCCTCTCCCTCTCCCTGCTTCTCCCTCTGCTTGTGCTCTCTCTCTCTGTCAAATAAATAAATAAAATCTTTATATACATATATGTATATAAAGAATCAGGTCAGCTAGCTTCCAAGATACCGTGCTTCCTTGGCAAAGAGTAGGCCCCTTGAGACTGCCAAGTCACTCCCTTCCCTCTTTGCTTCACTAGCTGCTACTCCATAGCTGAGTTTTGAAGGGTACATCATTAGCTCTGAGCCCTACCTAACTGTTCTCCTCCCCACACCAACACCCAGTCTGGTTTGGGGGCCTCTTTGTTTCCATCAAAGTGCCTATCACACTTAACTGGTCATTATTTGATTGTCTAGTCCCCTGCTAGACTACAGTCTCTATGAGGGCAGAGATTACATCTGCCTTATTCATTGTGATATGCCTAGCATGATGTTTTTCACATTGGCATTCAGTAAAATTGTTTTGAATTAATAAAAGTGGTTTTTCCATAGAATATTATATCCATGCATGAAGGTGAATTTTCTTGTGGCCAAGTTTGTCTAGCCTGAAATGGAAAATATAATTTTCTTTTAGTCTGCTTTTCAGCTGTTGGGTTTCCATGTTATCATTGCCTGCGCCATAATCCTAGTTGTCATTTGGTGCTTCTTTCCGCCTCAGATTCAGCTATCATTCAACTGCTATGTGACGTCTCACTAGGATCTTTGATGTCTACGTGCCAATTTAAAACTGAGATAACTTTTCTGGGGTTCAGTTTCCTCAGCCATGTATTCAAGATACCTAATTGACTTGCACAAGATGAAACTGTAAATTTGAAGGTGGATTTGAATTTCGAGCTCCCAATTCTAAATTTAGCTTCCTTTTTTTTTTCATATATCATGTTGTCTTCCTATTCCCATCTCTGCTCCATGTCTACTAGGCTATGGGTGGCACCTGTATTACTCAGTGACAACCATATTTCGTAATCTTACCATAGGTAACTCTTCCACAAGCCTTTTTTCCTCCTCCCCTTTGTTCTGTTTATCACTTTTTATTAATTTTCTTCCCATTTCCACTCTGCTGGCTCCTCTCCCAAACAGTGGCACTCAGGGTTTATGAAAACATTCTCAGGCCTGTCCTAATCTTGTATATGGATTGAGGACTTTAGTGATAATTGGTTATTTCTATTATCTGCTCTCCTTACTTATATCTATTTCAGAAGTAGATAGGAGACGAGTTTCAGAGATTTGAACCAGGACACATACTATCTGGGCTCCTGATCAAACAAGATGATTAAATACATGCTTTTTGCTCTGTTCTTTCCTGACCCTCCATAGTGCAGGAGTAAGAAAAGTATGAACCCTTATGGTAAAGGCAAAACAATGCCACCCTGCCCGCAGACACTCATATCCTAATTCCTGAAATCTATGAATATGTTAGCTTACCTGGCAAAAAGAACTTTGCAGATGTAATAAAGTTAAGGATTTTGAGATGGGGAGATTATTTTGAATTATTTGGGTGTAATCACGAAGATCCTTATAAGGGAAAAAAGAAGGCAGGAGAATTCAAGTCAGAGAGAAGAAAAAAAATCGAAAGAGGCTCTGTTTTGAAGATAGATGATGAGGTCATGAGCCAAGGAATACAGAAGTCTCTAGGATATAGAAAAGGCAAAGAAACAGATCCTCCCCTAGAGTGTCCAGAAGGAGTGCAGCTTTGCCAAAACCTTGAGTCTAGCCACCAAGATTGATTTTAGACTTCAGACCTTTAGAACTGTAAGATAATAAATTTGTGTTTTAAGCCATTAAGTTTGTGGTAATTTGTTACATTGACAATAAGAAATTAATTCAGCTCCCTAAGGACAAAAAGAACAGGAAAGGAAACCATAGCAGTTGAGAAAATTCAGCACATGCTTAGAAGATGGGATAGATGGAAGAAAAGTAACAGATGGAAGATGGAAGAAACGGATACCTGAGTGCCTGCAGGAGGGAGAAGGCATAGCAACAAGAAAGGAAGTAACTTGTCCTGTAGAAGCCCAGAAGCGTTCAGGAATTAGAGGTCATACCTGATATATCCCATTTAGAGAGCCCAGGAAAAGAGGACAAAGGGAGGCCTACAGAACATTTGGCTAAATATGTAAGTTATAAATCCAGCTAACAAACTGCTAACTAAAGTATATTCTGTCCTATCTTGAGAAATGCAGAGAAGGGACTTCCATTTGGGGGTACACCCATGAATTTAAAGAAATTAATCAGCATGAAAGAGAGAAACCAACAACCATTCAACCAACTAACCAACCAACCAGAACGCCTGATATATCTGACATTATTGAGATGAGAGTTAAAATGGTGGAGAGTTTTGAATTAGTGATATGTACTTAGACAATCACATTAATGAAAAAAAAAAACAATTATTGACTCCAGAAAAAAAAAAACCAAAAAGTTAGACAGGAGAGGAAAATTAATTATAGTCTATTATATGGGTCAAATAGAATAGAATACAAGGCTTTAAAAATGTAACTACCAATTATTAATCTAATTAAAGGGGCACCTGGGTGGCTCAGTCGTTAAGCTTCTGCCTTCGGCTCAGATCGTGATCTCAGGGTCCTGGGATCGAGCCCCCCATCAGGCTCCCTGCTCTGCTGGGAGCTTGCTTCTCTCCATCTCCCACTCCCCCTGCTTGTGTTCCCTCTCTCACTGTCTCTCTCTCTCTTTGTCAAATAAATAAATAAAATCTTTATAAAAAATTAATCTAATTAAAATTATGATGGGGTGCCTGGGTGGCTCAGATGGTTAGGCGACTGACTCTTGATTTCGGCTTAAGTCATGGTCTCAGGGTTGTGGGATCGAGCCCCCTGTTGGGCTCTGTGCTCTGCGTGGGTTGTGCTTATCCCTCTCCCTTCACCCCCCACCCCCTGCATGCTCTCTTTCTCTCTCTCAAGTAAATAAATAAAGTCTTTAAAAAAATAAAATAAAATTATGATATATAATTAAAGAGCATGTATGTGGTGGGCATGCAGAGAGGGAGGAAAGTAAACCCTCATTTCTATAATGCAAAGTCAATAGGTAATGCCTAAAGCAGAAATACCAAGTTGCCACAATTAA